GCAGACATTTAACCGACTGAGCCACCCAGGTGCCCCTAATTCAGATCTTTTCTAAAGGAACAAAGTTTCCAGGTACAGTTGTAGCTTCCTGGGTGCAGTGGGGAAGAATCCAAACCCCATTTACTATTTAAGCTTAGAACCTACTCTAGAATTTCAAATCGTTTCAAACAAAATAATGAAGCCATAGCCTGAAGACCTGCCTCAGGAGATTCTGGAAATCTATTTCTTATTCCTAATTTCTGAAAATTATTCATAACCCACTCAAACCGATGCCAATTGCTAGAGTGTGAGCACTACATCGTATTCATATTTGTGCCCTCGATGTGTCATGAATCAATGAATAAATAGTACCCAGTTTTTTTTAAAGCACAGATGGTGTTTGTGGCAGCCATGAGAACGTGCCTCTCAGATCTCCAAGCATAATACTAACGGGCCAGGCTGCTATGTTATGAATCCACCACACTTCCCACAGGCTTCTTCCAGCCAGTGACTGAGTGAGGCAGGGAGACAGGAAACTCCTCTGATAGATGATGTGGGCTTGAGGACTCCCCATTGGCCTAGTGAAAACTTTCTTAGACTACCTTGCACTCTAAGATGCTTTCTATTGAAACTTCCTTTTTTCCCCCTCTCTCCATCACTATCTACCAGCTCTCCCCCTAGCTCTGGCTTCCTCTCCATTTTCCGTCACAGTTGTTCCCCTCCCCCCCCAAAAAAAATCTTTTGCCCATCTAATCTGATCTTGGAATCTGCTTGGAGGATCCTAAGTAACACAGTGGTTAAATGTATGGGTTTTAAAGGATTCTCTAGATAGGTCATTAAGAATGAAAAGAGAGAGGCGCCTGGGTGGCTCAGTCGTTAAGCGTCTGCCTTCGGTTCAGGTCATGACCCCAGGGTCCTGGGATGGAGCCCCACATCGGGCTTCCTGCTCAGTGGGAAACCTGCTTCTCCCTCTCCCACTCCCCCTGCTTGTGTTCCCTCTCTCGCTGTGTCTCTCTGTCAAATAAATAAAATCTTAAAAAAAAAAGAATGAAAAGAGAAATAATTATGTGCTCAAAGATTTAGGATATATTTAGGATTAGGACTTGGCTCAAGGATATAAGCTGATGACAACTTAAATGGTACATGAGGCCAGGAGAAGGAATATGTTCCTAGGAAGGCCTAAAGGATTCACCATTCACCAAGGGTGTTAGAAATGATCTGGTCAGGGGGCCCCAGCATCACTATGAAGTATAGTGTGGCTCTCTTCTGTAGGCCAGAGTTAGTGATGGGAGAAGCGGTTATAGAATTTGGCTCACTGATAGCAGTGAGGATGAGAGGGCCCTGGTGGTAGCATTTCAGCATCAGAAGCCAGAGGGTCACAGTATCCACAGTTATGGGAGGCTAACAGAACACAGTGTCTCGAGGAACAGCCAAAACACACTGCTTAACATACATAGTCAAAATAGAGCAAGAGTGGATGAGTGGGAGGTTGAAGGAAGTTACCCCCAAAGTCTCTTGCCCGGTTTCTGGACCTGAAATACTTTTCAGTTTTCAGACCTGGCACTCATTGACTGATGAGATAATTGGATGTGAGGGAGAAGGACCCTGTAATACATAATGATTTCCCCAGGACTTCCCCAAAGGGATCTAGGCCATGTACTTGGGTGACTGTTCACTGGGGAAAGGAATACATTCAGACATTTCCAGCACCATTGGAAACAGGGTCCAAGTTGGCACTGATATGACCCAAAACTTATCACAGCCTCTCTATTACAGTGAGGACATACATACAAGGGCCAGGTGATAGAGTCTTAGTCAAAGTCTGGGTCCACTAATTCTGTGAACTGACCTGTACTCATTTTCCTAGTCCTCCAACATATAATTGGGATTGGCATATGTGGTGATTGGAGTAACCCACACTTTGGATCTGTTGGTGAGAGCTATCATAGCGTGGAAGGCCAAGCAGGAACCCTCTGAAACTGTCTCCCTCCCACCGAGATATTGTGAATCAAAAATGGTGTAGCCCTGGAGAGGAATGGCAGAGATTAGTGCCACTCTTAAAGATGCAGGTGTGGTGGTCCCTAGCATATCTCTGTTTATAATTTGCTAGTCTGGTCCTTGCAGAAACCAGATGGATCCTGGAGACTATTGCTAGCTCAACCAAGAAATAGGCCTTATCCCAGCTGCCCAGCCAGATGTAGTTTCTTTGTGAGGGTAGATAATATAGTCTCTGGTATGTAGTAGGCAGCCATTGGGTTGGTGAATGTATACTCTTCTATCCTAGTCAGGAAAGAAGATCAGAAAGAGTTTGCTCCAGGGCTGTGTTAACTTTCCCACCATCTGTCATAATGTAGCCTGAAGACATCTGGACCATCTAGACATATCACAGAATATCCTACTGATTCATTACATTGATGACATCATGATGATATGGCAGATGAATAAGTAAGAGGGTACTAGTGTGCTGGAGAATTGGTAAGACACATGTACTCCAAAGGGAGGGAGACAGACTACAAAAATTCAGGTACTTGCCAACTTAGTAAAGTTTCTGCACATCCCATAGTCAAGTGAACGCCAGGGCATTCCCTTCAAAGTAAAGGGCAAATTGCTGTATCATGCATCCACTATTACAATGAAGGAAGTACAATGACTGTTAGGCCTTTTTTTTTTTTCCTAGATTTTATTTATTTATTTGAGAGAGAGAGAATGAGAGAGAGAGCACAAGAGGGGGTAGGGTTGGAGGGAGAAGCAGACTCCTGCTGAGTGGAGAGCCGGACGTGGGGCTTGATCCCGGGACTCGGGATCATGGCCTGAGCCGAAGGCAGACATTAACCGACTGAGCCACCCAGGTGCCCCAACTGTTAGGCCTTCTTGGGCTTTGGAGAAAACAGTCCTAGCTGTAGAGCAAGTAGCCCTCCTGTTTAGAACAAATGATCTCGGCACACCCCATGGTATTTGAGATGTTAATGGTAGAAAAGGAGATGGTGTGAAGTTTACAACAAGTCCCAGGGGAAGAATCACAACCCAGGCTCCTAGGGTTATGGAGCAAGGTTACACTATCTGCAGCAGAGGGTTATGCACCTTTTGTAAAATAGCTCCTAGTTAAGTGCTCTGAAAGAGCTGGAACACTCAACTTTGGGATACCAAGCAGCTACAAGTTTGAAACTGTCCACCATCTGTTGGGAATAAGTCATAAAGTAAGATGGGCCCTGTAGCAATCCATCATAAGATGGACATGGTACATCTGGGACTGAGTATGAGCAGGAAGAAATGACACTGCAAGGGGCATGAAGACTGGGTCTAAAATCTCATGGCATCTACTGTGTCCTATCATGGCATCCACTATTAGCAGTGTCCCTTCTGAGCTCATACCAGTGACCAAAGGGACCTCCCACTCAATCAGCTGAGGAGGGAGGAACCACCCCTTCCCCCTGACAGCTTGGTTTATGGATGGGTTGATTTGGTATTAGGTGAAAACCAAAAGTGGATGCTCTCTGCATTATATAACTTATTCAGTGTGGCTGTGAAAAATAGTGATGAGACAATTCGTGAAAGATAAATCTTCCCAATGTGCAGAGCTTCAGAAGATGCATCTGGTCATCCACTTCGTATGAAAGGGAAACTGGCCTAAAGTCAAAACACGTCTGGGCTCTCGCCAATGAGGAATGGTCTGGGTCCTGGAAGGAGAAAAATTCAAATATCAGAGATGAGGAAGTCTGGAAAAGAGACATGTAGACAGACATATGAGAGTGGGAACAAGGTGTGAAGATTGTTACATTGTATTTTAATACCCATCAGAAAGCGTCCATGTGGTTGGAACCAAATGACCAAGCAGACAAAGTAACTTGACTAGATGACATACATTGGCATGATAGGCAAACGGATGACATGATCACAGTGAAAGAAATGGAGGCTTTGCATGGGTCAAAAAACATGACTTCCACTTATGAAAGCCAATCTAGTTATTGCCTGCTTTGAGTGATCAACCTACCAGCAACAGACACCAACACTGAGCCACCAGTATGGCACTATTCCTTAAGGAGACTAACTGGTCACTTGGCAGCAAATGGACTACTTGGGACCATTTTCATCCTGGAAGAGGCAGCAGTTTTTCTCATAGGAATAGAAACTTAATCTGGGTATTGGGGTATGGGTTTGCCTTTCCTGCCAGCATGATCAAGCCACTTACAGAATGCCTGATCTATAGACATGAAACAATATAGTATCTAATCAGGGAACTCATTTTACAGATCCACTGGTCATGTCATATACTGTGTCATCCAGAAGCTGCTGGCTAAATAGAGTGGCATGGCATGCTGAAGGTACAGCTGTAGCACCAGGCAACACCCTGCAAGGATGGGGGTATCATCCTCCAAAACATGTATAAACACTGAATTACAGAACTTCATGTAGCGCTATGGGGAAGAATACATGGGTCCAGGAACCAAGGAGTGGAAGCAGGAGTGGCCTCACCATCATTTTGAATGACCAACTGAATTCTGTAAGGTGAGAGGTCCTGATCTTCAAAATGAAGTATGTTCTTGTCATGAGATAGCAAAGATCTCATTGAACTATAAGCTACAGCTGCCACTTGGACACTTTGGGCTCTTTGTGGCCAGAAAGTAGCAGGCAAGAAGAGCAATCACCACCTTGTCAGGGGTAATTAACACTGATCAGTGGGAGGAGACAGGGCTGTGTTACATGGTGGGAGCGGGGAGGAATGTGCATTGAACTCTGGTGGCCCACTGGATGCCTCCTGGTACACTCTTGCCTAATTGTGACAAATGTAATGATGTAGTAATAGAGGCTATACACGGGTAAGGTCACCAGGAATTCAGACTCCTCAGGAATGGAGTTTGGAAAACACCACCATGTGAGCAACTAAGGTCAGCAGAGTGAGGGACTTTAGAACAGACAGTGGAGGAGAGAGATGATGAGTACCAGTTTTGGCCATGAGACTGACCACAGCAGTGGAGGCTACAGTTTGTCTCTTCACCTCCCTCTTCTAAATTTCCCCTCAGGAAGAGGGGCCGACCAGAGCCCTGGAGGAGCTGCTCCCCAAATATGTTATGAAGTGGATCTACGGTGCACACAAGGTAAACTGTGGCAGATGTGGAGATGTGGCAATCAGATCATCCTTTAAGAAAGACTTGCTCTGGGGTGCTTGGGTGGTACAGTCAGTTAAGCGTCTGACTCTTGGTTTTGGCTCAGATTGTGATCTCGGGGTCATGGGATCGAGCCCCACATCAGGCTCCACACTCAGTGGGGAGTCTGAGATTCTCTCTCCTCTCCCTCTCCCTCTGTCCCTCCCACTCATGCTCTCTCTCTAAAATAAATAAATAAATCTTAAATTTAAAAAAAGATTCACTCCCCATCTGCAAGGAATGTGGTTAGCTGAGTCTCCCCAGCTGTTTGTGTTTTCAGAGTCAACTTCAGGTTATCATTCTATGCTTTTCTCAGGGTGGTCCCCAGTCAATGACTGGGCAAGGCCTAATCATTTCTACTCAATGGGGGAACTTCTTTAAGGAAAAATCTTTGCTCTGGAGCTCCCTATTAGGGTAGTCTGCCCAATCCTGCTTCTGCCCTTTTTCTTTTACAGGTGTTAACCCCTCATACACTTTTGCATTTTGACTTCTTTTTAGTGTCTGCTTCTGAGAGAATCTAATTGGGACAGATGCATGCATTAGGCCCCTGAACTCCATTCATTCATTCCCTGTTCCCAGTCCTGGGATGTGTGACTAAGTAATCAGAACTGCTGTTTTCCCACATGTAAAATTAAAGATTTACTCCTTTCACAAGTACATTATATGATTGTTGGGAGGATAAAATAAATATGTGCCAGAAAATCCTATGTAATTTGAAAACTCCTATGTAAATGGTTACAGTTTTTATTAAAAGGCCTAAAGAGTTAAAGCATTTCCCAGATTACTTAACAATCCTCAATAGTTAAAAAAAATTCACAAAGAAACTTGTTTTCAAGTCTTTTCAAGCTGGTAAGGTGTATGTGGTTTTCTGTGGTGTTACTTACTCCTAAGGACTAATTTTTACACTCAAGAGATCTTGCCTGACAATCAGATACATACCTAGATAAAGAATTGTAGAGTACTACAGTAACCTGCCATGGGAATTTTGGTTTGTTTCTTTTCATTTCTAGGATAACAATTACTAAGATAGAGGAAATGAGAAACATTGAACAACCCTTTTGACAAAACACAGCGGTCAGAGTCTTTGGGGAAAAATACTTAAAACCTGTGTGACCATGAAACAATTTTTTTTTTTTTAAGATTTTATTTATTTATCTGAGAGAGAGAGAGAATGAGAGATAGAAAGCACGAGAGGGAAGAGGGTCAGAGGGAGAAGCAGACTCCCAGCCGAGCAGGAAGCCAGATGCGGGACTCGATCCCGGGACTCCAGGATCATGACCTGAGCCGAAGGCAGTGGCTTAACCAACTGAGCCACCCAGGCGCCCCATGAAACAATTTTTTCCAGCACTACTGTGATAAGACATAATTTAGTATCTGTGGATAGATGTTGCAGTTTTAATATATATGTAAATAAAAATATTTCCTATATATTCTTTTAGTGCTCATTCTTGGTATTCAAAGTTATCTATAATGTATTAGAAGAAGACAGCTAGTGATCATGTCATCACTTTTTATCAGAAAAACTTTTAGCGGTAGCTTTTTAGCAGAAAATACAGGCAAGTTTTCCACGATAAGATATCGTTTGCTTAGCTGGTGGTACAGATTTTGAAAGTTATATCTCTGATTTGCATTTGAGAGTTGGCACAAGTTCAGTTATAAGCTTTGAAAATTTGTGGTTCCACATAAAGAATTGTAAAAAAAAAAAAATTAAAAACCTGTCCTTTTACCTTTTTGCTCATCCTGCCCAAAGTAATTTATTTTTTTTTCTGGTCCAAGCAGATCTACAGTCTACAACGTCCATCTGAGCGACAGGGCAAAAATTTTTGGCTGTTTATTCCGATGTCAGTGTACTCAAGTAAGTGTAGCTGACAATGCACCTTTAATCCAAATGGTTTTGCATAATTTGAGAAATATGGACAAAAGTAAAAGAATAGGGGCGCCTGGGTGTCTCAGCTGGTTAAGCGACTGCCTTTGGCTCAGGTCATGATCCTGGAGTCCCACATCAGGCTCCCAACTCAGCAGGGAGTCTGCTTCTCCCTCTGACCCTCTCATCTCTCATACTCCCTCTTTCACCCTCTCAAATAAATAAGTAAAATCTTAAAAAAAAAAATCCCTAAAACTAAAAGAATAATTCCCATTGTACTCTACTGTGGATGCAGAATACCTGCACTGTGAATTGGGAACTAACAGGAAAGAAAATGCCAATAATATAAACTAGATTATAGAGCAATTTAAAAAATGTCTTTCATCATAGTTCAGTATAAATAACAGAATTCTTCAAATTTACATGATTTTTTTTCTATGTGCATTCTGGGATCTCTGATAATTGAATACAACTTCAAAAGGGCTTAAGCCAGTGACCTCAAAACGAAGTTCCCAGAACAGTACACAATGATGAAACCTGAAGCAATAAAGCGCCGCTGAACTGAAATGTAAACATTCATATTATTAGGACATGACTGAATTTTCACTTGATTTAATTTTGTTTTGGAGTCCTATTGGGCTGTCTTCGGACACCTCCCTTTCATATCTTAAATTGTGTCTCAAGGGTGTTAGAGAATTCAACAGTCTGGGGCACCCCAATAACGTTTAGCACATAGTTCGTGTTATGTTACAGAGCACTTTCTGAATATAGGCGTTACCTATACTGACTCCCCGCGGGCGAAAGGAGGCACATTTACATTTCAGGGTGCCTTTGATTGGCTGGAGTTGGAAAAATCTGAATTCCTACACTTTTTCCCCCCAGGAGGCTCAGAGGCCACTTGTCCTGCAAGACACACGTACCATGCTCACCGTCTTCGGAACCAGCAGTGGGAGAGCCTGCCCCAGCTGCTGGGAAAGGAGGCTGCGCGGAAGGAAGGAGTCCGATTCGCGGCAGCTCGCGGGCGGGGGACGGGGGACGGGGAACGGGGGACGGGGGACGGGAGACGGGGAGGGGCGGTGCCGGCGCGCGCGCGGGCGGGGTGTGCGCGCCGCCGCCGCCGCCGCGTCACCAGCGTGCGGCACGTGCCCGTGTTTACGTCCCTCGTGGAGCAACCTACGTCAGCAGCCAAATGGCAACATTGTGGCGATACTGAGGGTTACAGTTTAGGAGACGCGTCTATCCGTCAGGCCGGCTCCGGGCGGTCGGGAAGAGGAGGAGAAGGAGGAGGGGCGGGGAGATCGGCCTGGACGAGCGGCGGAGACGCACACTTCGCCGGCCCCTACCGCCTACCGGCCTGCCCGGCCCCGCGGAACCCGCTCTTCACCTTCCGAGAGCCGCAGACGCAGCACCGCGGCCTCGCGCTGGGGGCGGCCGGGACGGGCGCGAGGCGCTGCCGCAGCACTGGGCTTGTAAACAGATCCAGCCGCACGTGACCATGTGAACTACCTGCTCCGGGGACGCGTATTGTCTTTCCCGCGAGCCGCGCCACAAAGGAGCGCGGCGGGTTCAAGTGAGGAGGGCCGGGCGAGTAAGCGGGGAGAGCCGGCTGGCGCGCTAAGATGGCCGAAGGCGCTCAGCGAGGGTGAGCGGGGGGCGCGGTGCAGCCAGCCGGTGAGTCTTCGAGCGGGCAGGGCCAGCGGCGCCTCTCCCGCGGCCTGGCACCGGAGCCACCATGTCGTTCGCGCTGGAGGAGACGCTCGAGTCGGACTGGGTGGCCGTGCGGCCCCATGTGTTTGACGAGCGCGAGAAGCACAAGTTCGTCTTCATTGTGGCCTGGAACGAGATTGAGGGCAAGTTTGCCATAACCTGCCACAACCGGACGGCCCAGAGGCAGAGGAGCGGCTCCCGGGAGCAGGCGGGGGCACCCGCGTCTGACGGGACCCGCGGGCCAGGCAGCCCAGCGGGCAAGGGCCGGCCTGAGGCCACTGTCTCTGCGACTCTGGGTAGGAGCCCGGGGCCCCGGAGGAGCCCGGCCTGGGGGGAGGGCGGCTCTCCGCGGAGCGCGCGCAGCCTTCGGGGGGACCCGCTGCTGCGGTGTCCCGCCGGCAAAGGGGCGGAGAGCCCCCTCAGGAGCCCAGTGCGGGCCAAGACCAGCCCGGTCCGAAGGAGATCTGAAGGCAAAGATGTGGCGGGGGCCGCTACAGCAGCACCCCCGCCGGCGTCCAGGGAGGCCCCGGTGTCCTCCGTGCGAGTAGTGAGCACTTGTGGGGTGGTTTCCGAGGAGATAGAGGTGCTGGAAATGTTGAGGGAAGACGAGGTGCCCCCGGCGGCCCTGGCGCTCTCAGACGCAGAGCAGCCGCCTTCCACTATCGAGCTGGAGTCCCCGGCCGAGGAGTGTAGCTGGGCCGGGCTCTTCTCCTTCCAGGATCTGCGTGCTGTGCACCAGCAGCTGTGTTCTGTGAACTCGCAGCTGGAACAGTGCCTGCCCGTATTCCCCGAGGAGCCCTCTGGCATGTGGACCGTGCTGTTCGGGGGCGCTCCAGAGATGACCGAGCAGGAGATCGACACTCTGTGTTACCAGCTCCAAGTCTACCTGGGCCATGGCCTGGACACCTGCGGCTGGAAGATCCTTTCCCAGGTACTTTTCACTGAGACCGACGATCCCGAGGAGTATTACGAAAGTCTTAGCGAGCTGCGGCAGAAGGGCTACGAAGAAGTGCTTCAGCGGGCCAGGAAGCGCATCCAGGAGGTAAGAACCTAGTCTGGGCTCCAGTCGTTGCTTTTGGGTACTCACTGCCGGAGGCTGGAGCCTCACTCCAGGCTGTGACCATTTGGGAGACTTTTTCTTCTGGACAGGAAAAGCGGAAGAAGATGGGTTCCTTACCAGTCAGCCCCTTAATTCCTTTCAATGGTGGGAGAACCGTGGATTTTCTTAATTGGCCCTCTGAAGGAACTTTAAGTCTTTAGATTTCCTCTTCCCATTCATCAAATAGGTTCTGTATAATAAGTGGTGTGTTTACTACTCAGTGCTGCAAGTAAGATTAAAGCCACTCAGAAAAAAGGGGACCCAGCATTTCGTTTCTCTTTTGCCTTTCTTTCCACCAATAACTGCCCAGATATTAACCCTACTTTTCTGATGTCCTGTTCATTTACTTAAAATATATTTGTCGCAGGGAATACAGTTGGTCTTCTTTTTAATCTCCGTTTGCAGTTTGGCAACTTAGGCAAATTTTAAATTCATTTTACTTCAAATGAGTGGATTGTCCAAATCAAAAAGCACCATATGAATGTATTTTTTAAAGGCTTATGCATAGTCTCGAGTCTTTATAGCTGACAGATGTTTAACTCCTGTTTTAGGGAGGAAAAAAGGTCTTGGGCGGAATGTTTATTATACTTTTGTACTTGTAAAAGTAGTACAAAGCATTTTCAAACTACCTTACACAAAATTACAGGAAATGGAAGAGGTCTGCATGGGTATAAGGAGGTCCATGGTTTGTAGGATATACATAAGTTGAGGTCACGCCTACCCACCAGCTTCTGCTGAAAGAATTGTACAAAAAAAAAAGTATTTTAAAATATACTTTAGGTTTTGGGTCACCTGGCTGGCTCAGTCAATAACCCCTGCAACTCTTGATCTTGGGGTTGTGGATTTGAGCCCCATGTTGGGTGTAGAGATTACTTAAAAAAATCTCTAAAAATATATATATATACTTTAGTTTTCCTAATGGGCACGAACAGATACTTCCTCAAAGCTATTATTTTTAGTATTAGTACCAGTTGAGGTTAGAGGTGGCGTCGGGAAATGCCCCTTTTTATGGTGTTTATAATCCTGACATTGTGTTGTCATCTGTTAACTTTGCCTGTGTTTGTAAAAGACTCGAATCCTGCTATTAAGGCTAGGAAGCTCGTACCTCCTTGTTTCTGCATGGAATTGTCTGTATTTTTCATTGCTAGATTTGGGGCATAAGGAATTTTTTTTTCTTACAGTGCTCTCCTACAACTTCCTGAATTCAGGTTTTCATTCTTTCCTGTTAGTTTACTTTGTGCTAAGCATTACCTACGTGGTAATGCTATCCTAGAATCCTAGGGATGTTTTTATTTCCCTCTTTTTTTAAATTTTTTTTTAAAGATTTTATTTATTAGAGAGCTCACGTGTTCGTGCATGAGTGGGGGGTGAGGGACAGGGGGAGAGAGAGAAGCAGACTCCCTACTGAGCAGGGAGCCCCACACAGGCTCCCAGAACTCTGGGATCATGACCTGAGCAGAAGGCATACGCTTAACCAGCTGGAGCCACCCAGGCGCCCCTAATTCCCTCTTTATCATCTACTTCTGGAATCTGTGTTCTACCTTAATTCTTTCTGGAAGGAAGTGATAAATTTTAAATGGTCGCATATATTCTTTTTAGAGTTTTGTTAATATTGACCTGTATTTCTTTTAAACTGTGTGGACAAAATTAATATTTCTTTCTTATACTTTTTTGTTAAACTTTATATATATATACTTTTAAGGTTTTTGTTTATTAGCAAGAGAGTGCACATGAGCTGGCGGGCTGTGGGCAGAGGCAGAAGCAGACTCTGTGCTGAGCAGGGAGCCTGACCAGGCTCAATCCCAGGACCCCGAGCCAAAGTCAGATGCTTAACCGACTGAGCCACCCAGGCGCCCATAAACTTTGTATTTCTTATATCTCTAAATGATGTAGACTTGTTTAGTTTTAATTTTATTGGTACTCGAAAAAGTAATTTTGTCTGGTTTCATTCAAATAGGGTCAAAAATGAGAGTTGCCAAAAAATATAGTTCATTACAGTTTTCTGGAACTCTTTTCATGGGAGTGGAGGGTTACAGTTTTTAAAAGAATATTTTTTTCCTAATTAAGGTTATATTGACCATGATGTTGCATTCTCTTTAACCGAGAAATTTAAAGGTTTAGAGTATTTTGTGTTCTGGAAGGCAACTCAAATGAAGTTTATTATAAGCTCATTGCACATTAAATATATAAATTTTTGGTGCTTCATTTAGTTGATTTGAACAGTATTTGAAAAATAATTACCATGACAACAAATAGACTCAGTTATAATGCTCACCCTGATATCTACTGGAAGTTTATATTGAAAGAAATGAAGTTCAGTAGGGAGATAGGGTGGTGTGATTAATTAGTGACTTCTGCTGTGCGCTTGATAACGGGAGTGTAAAAGCATGGCAGACATGTTTTTTTTCTTTTTTCTTAGCTGCTTAAAATAGTTTGCAGTAACTTTCTTTAGGGAAAATATTTATAGAAATTGTGTCATTTTTGTATTATTGATTTTGTTAAATTTAGTAATTACATCTAATTTAATGATTTTGTTCCCAATTGTGTGGGAGTGGTTATAAAGGTGTTCAAGCCAGGTATATCTGGTAAATCAAACACATTCTTAGGTATATGTTATTTAGAAAATTTACACTTTTGGGTTTGTTTGTTTTTCTTCTTTAATTTCTCTGGATCTGTTTTCTGCTTTTTTTCCCCCCCCAGTATTCCATTTCCTATCTATTTAAAGCCTTCAGCTTAAAGGCCACACCTGTTTTTGTTCAAAATGGTCAGTCAATTGTGGAAAGGAGGTGTTTTGTTTTGTTTTTTGTGTGTTTTTTTTTTTTTTTTTTTTTTACTAGAACAGACTGTGCAACTAGTCTGTAAACTTCTCAAGGTCACTGGCCTTGACAGTATCTTGGAATTCTCTTTGCCATCCCTAGTTCAGGGCCACACATCTTGTGAGCACTCTTAATATTTGTGGACCAAGGACACAAGAGGTGTTCTTGTTGTTGTTGTTGTTGTTGCTTTTTAGTATTACAAGAATTCAAAGGATTTGGAAGAAGGGTCTTTTTGAGTTAAAGCTCTGGGTAAATTAAAATTTTATATATTGATAAATGTATATTCTACATAAGGGACCATGCTATTTAGAAACTGAGAGTAAAATCTTTTAAAACTGTAAATAACTTTCTAAATAAGAGGTCTTTATCTGGGGTTCGTGAATTCCCTCTAAATTGAGGGGAGCTATAGATGGACTTTAATGGGCTGCTATAAAGTAGCATGCTAAGTTTTATATGATCTGCATTTTTGGAGAGAGGCTTTTATCAAATTCTTTAAGGTGTTCTTCAGAAAGATCTTTAAAACCATAATTGTAAATCATTTGCTTTTTAAGCTTTGGGCATACTTCTATTGGAGTTAAAAGTTTTAGAATACACTTATGATTTAATATGGGGTTATAAGAAATACGTCTATATCTTTGTTTTGTGAAATATTGAAGAATAAAATACTAAGTTGTCTGCTAAACGTTTTTGTTAATGATTCACAAATTTGGTCAATTGACTGGAAATGATAGTTTGTGAGAAGCTATAATTTATATAATACTAATGAGAAATTTTTATTTAGTTTTAAAGATTTATTTATTTATTTTGAGAGAGAGAGGAGGGAGGGGCAGGAGAGAATCTTGCAAGCGATTTTCTGCTGAGCCAGGAGCCTGACACGAGGCTGGATCCCACAACCCATGAGATAATGACCTCAGCTAAGACCAAGAGTCAGATGCTTAACTGACTGAGCCACCCAGGTGCCCCACTAATGAAACATTTTCGGATAACATAGGAATTGTAAGGTTGTGTGCTACTTAGGGCCTTAATCTTAAATGAAATTTGAAATTTATTACATGGTAGGCTTGTTTTCGACTTTTACAAGGGTTTGCTGTGTAAGGAGTGCTATTTATATAGAAGGCACCCAGTCTGTGAATGAATCAAGTGCCAGCAAGGCCCCTTGGGATGGTTTCAGCAATAGTCTTAGTTGTTGGTCAGAGCTGAGGATCATATTATAGTGTATGTGCATGGGTGACCCATACCATGGCTTACTTACCTTTGATGACCCGGATTTTGTAAATAGTGGTTTCTGTATAAGGACAACTATTGTTGAAATAGTTGTGGTCCTTTAGATAGTGAACCTTAACTATGATGGTAGGCTTGATTAGGATCTAAAATAGTGTTCTCTTTGGAGAAGAGATTATGTGTATACAATTGCTCAGCTAACTTCTTCCCAGTTGATTTTAACTTACTGCTAGTAAAACAAACAAACAAAAAAGCAGCATGTGTTTTTGTAAGTAGCCATGTAAAGCATGCTATAGACAGAGCCTGCCTAGTGCTTGGAGTCAGAAAGACCTGGCTTCCAAATAGAACTCAATAGAATTTCTGTGACCTGCTTAGTTAACCTTTTTAAAACAGGGAAATGGGGAAGATACTTAAAGGATATCTTAAGATTTAACATCCTTTGTATCTTAAAATGACTCAGCTGTAAATAACTCCTGACTTCTGAGGTTATTTAATTAACATAAGGGGCAGAGAGCTCTAGAAAGAATGCTTATCATCTCTCCAACCAATTACGACTTTTGTAATTTTTCTGAAAAACTAAGATTATTTATAAAACCCTGGAGCCACACTGATATCCCAACCAATCCCAACCATATATGTTAGAGAAATCATAGTCTTTTTGGAGCCCGAGGATGCTGGCCTTTCATTGGGATAGTGTGCCTTGACCCATGATTAGGTGTAAATAGTAGAAGCAGACTCAGGAAGGATGTAATGTAGTTGCATCTGAGAGAGCTGTTACGGCTGTGTATTCCCATAAAAATAGTGCACACAGAGTTAAGGAATAATGAAGCTAAGTGAATTTTGTAGGATTCTTGGAAGTTAGGATGAAAGACTTGAAAAGGTAGAGGCCATGGAAACAATCACTTA